TAACAAGACTATCTCGCAATCACATTTGTGATTTTACTTCCAAATAATTTTATTAATGACGAATTGAAACTACAATCCATCAAAGCTCTATGAAATATTTATGGAACATCTATGATTGCTGCATATGATATCTATGAATATATCTAAAGCTGTATCCCCATGGAAAAAGAAATAGCGGAACGGAACAGTGGCTTAGTTTACACCGATTGTTTTAGTACGCGTACCAAGTACTAAATCTGCTTCTTCGATAGGTATAAATATATAATTGTTTAGTGTAAAATCTACACCAATCAAAGAAGCAAATTTAATACTTGGTACGCGTACTAAACAATCAGTGTGAACTAAGCCAGTAACGGAACAGTAGTTAAAAAGAGATATATTTATCATATCTCTTTTCCTCTACTGTTCCGTTACTGTTCCGTTCCGCTATTTCTTTCTCCATGGGGATACAGCCTAATGGATGTCGAATGGAGGTATGTAATGCAGAACTGTGGATGTCTAGTAGACATCTATAAGAGATCACTTGGACATCTAATAGAAGTTTCAAATCTCAGGGGTATAGCCCATAAAATTGCTGTTTTTCTATAAAAAATGCAAGTTGATTGGTTATACATTTCTTGAAGAAATTCGGATCGATTTCTAGCATCGTGGACTTTAGACTTGAGAAATAGTATTTTTGTTAAGAACACTTTTCGTTTAATAATTTTAATTAGACAAATTTGAAGTAATTTAGAAGTAATTAATGATGTCATTGCATCGTCATCGCCATTAAAAAACGGAATAATATAAGAAATTGGTTCGTCAGGCAACGTGATAAAAAGAAAATTCTAGAACAATGCTCAGAATTAATTGAGCATTTCAACCGATTTCCGTGGTTGATCCTTTCCTCTCTTTACCGCACGCGACGCAGCCGCTAGGGTTTCTTTTTGTGTGGTTTCTTCAGTAGACCTACCCCAGGGAGAACAACAGGTCTAAAAAACGTCTAATAGACGTCTATTAAACGTTTCTTAGACCTATTGTTCTCCCTGGGACTCCATTAAAAATAAAAAATAATAAAATCTTAATTAAAAAAAATAAAATATGAAAAATATTAGTTTTTTTTGGCCTTTTATGAGATAAAATGGCCTTTTATGGGCGGTATGCATAATCCGTTCTTATTACAGAATTATCTTAAGTACTGCCTTAAGATATTAATATGACTTTCTGGTTGCTTCATAGCATTTTAAAACCATACTTAAGACAATCTTAAAGGTGCCTTTTCACCCTGACGCTCGACGCTCATTTTTAGCGTCCAAATATGTCACGTGAACAAAGTTGACGCTGGATGTGAGAAATGCATGAAAAGAGTTTCTCGTAAAATTTAGCGTCAGTCAGCGGTCTGCGTCGATATTCATCAATATTTGTATATATCAAAACTGTTAAAAGTTTTTGTCACTGATTTTGTTCAGTTAATTTTTTCACTCGCTTTATTAATAATTACTGTTTTAAATATTAAAAAAAGTGTAATTAAGTAGGAATAAGATAAAAACCTTTGGTTACCAGTTCTACTTATTTTATCGAAAATGCTAAAAAAATGTTTATTAATAATTTTTTTATTATATGTAATATTTTTTATTATATGTTTACAAACATAAAATATTTACTTCATATCATATTATTTATTTTGATAAGTATACAAAATGTATATCTTTTCAATTAAACAAAGTTTCATATTATTGCAAACTTTGATAAGTAGAGTAGGAAAAACGATATTAGAATAGTTGTTCAGTATTAGAAAATTTCTAATGTAATACTTAAGAATAGCATTTTTTTAAAGTTAGAAAATTAATTGTATAGAATAAAAATGCACAGCATATTTGTATATATTATATTTCAAGCTTTTATTTATAATAAAATAACTTTTTATTGAATTAAATTTACATAACATTAATATTAAATTTACATAATTAAACATATATAATATAAAGATAATTATAAAATATATTTTGCAAATAAATACAATACTGCTGATTCTTCCAAACCTCAAAAAGTATCATTTTTAATTCATTACTTATTCATTCTTTTTATTTTCTTTATATATATATGTAGTATTGGATAATAAATTCAATTATTACTTTTTATTACTTAAATAACATCCATTTTTATTAACAAGGTTGAAAGACCACATGAGACATATGCAAATCCAATAGCGAATAGCACGCACAGACAGATCATCGCACAGATCGCACGACTTGACGCTAAAGCTAAAAAATCCAGCTTTTTTTCTTGACGCTAGCGTCAACTCGAAGTCACGTGACTATGGGCAACGCTGAAACGAGCGTCCCATGAATTTGCATCTTAAAGATAAGAACGGACTCTGAATACTGCTCAATGACTAAAAAAAAAAAGAAAGAGAGAGGGGAAAAAACGCGATAACAATAGGTTTGTTCTTTATTGCTGCACTGAGTTTACTCTGCACTGAACTGAATTAAAATAGTGCAAGCGGGAACAAGTTAGTGTAAGTAAGTATAAAGAACGTTTTAGTGCAGTGATCAACATGATGCACCGCGTAATATTAAATGAATTATTAGATTCTTCGGATGAAGAATATATAAATTTAATGCCATCATTTATACCTCTTTTAGATGACGATGACGATGGTAAGATATGTATTTTATGTGCAATGTATTATTATTTATTGTGATATATTGATAAAAATAAAATTTTTTGGAAATTTAATCTAATCAAACCTAGTAACTATTTTCTTTTTTTAATTTTAATGAATTACGATTATTACATTCAATTTTTAGAATGATACAAAAGATTGAACGTGTCAAAATAAATAATTAAATAGAAAATATTGTTCATAATTATAACAATTTGGATTTTATCATGCATTTTCGATTATTGATAATAGTAGCATATGAACAGATAGATCGATTTAGAGTATTGGAAATATTTATTTCTTTACAAAGTATATATTATTTTTAAATAGAAACAAAGCTTTGAAGATGATATTTAATTAAATTTTATATATATATATATATATATATACATATTTTTCAGCTGTTCTGTAAATTTTTAATTATTATTAACAATATGTATAATTTTATGTTACACAAATACAGCATAAAAAAACTCTTATATACATTTAGCTTTTCTAAAAAGACAAAACCTTTCACATTTAATAAAAGTTAATAGATCACAGCTTGATTTTTTTTAATTCAGATTATTAGCACAATTTCAGTGCTTATAATTTAATTTTAAGAAAATTATTAATTACTTTAATATTAAATAGGATACTTTAATATTTATAATAGGTTGTGTACTTTTTAAATTTTCCACCATTATCAACTTATTCGATTCTTGCACTGCTCTACACTGCTTGTTCTTGCTCAAGACCCAGTGCAACGAGTACAGTGAACTGTTGCACTGAGTTTTGTTGCACTGCAATGAAGAACGGATTGGTGCACGTTGCATTGCAATAGAGAACGCTTTGGTGTCACTAGTGTACATTAGTGCAGAAAGTTCAGCAATAAAGAACAAACCTAATAATACCTCATTGGTGATGTGGAAATTTATTGAAACATTTCCACATAATAAATTAAAAAAAAAAAATAATTTTAATAAAATTTAAAAAATCTTCATAAATTTTAATAATCTAGAGAGAAAACCCCACTCATAAATTAATAGTGCCACTTCTAAAGCTAACGGCACACGGTACATTTTTGCTTACTGAATTGATTGCGAGCTAGTAAATTACTGAAAATACTGTATGATGTATGATACATTTCTAGTATTTTACTAGCTCGTAATCAATCCAGTAAGCAAAAACGTATTGTGTGTCGCTGGTTTAACACTCGAGTCGAGAGCTTACAACCAAGAGCCGATAACGTCACGCGTGTGCGTTCGACCAATGGAAGAGAGCGGATGTCTCGCTTTCATTGATCGCACACGGACGCGTGACGTCACCGGACGTTTTTGGTTGTGTTGGTATGATGCTTGCTTTCTGTTTCTGGCAGCACTGCACTCGACGCTGATCCGAGTCAAAATCTATAGAGAAAAGGTTACCTTAAAACCGGTTGTTGGCGAGGGACGCTGAAGGAAGGGGGGAGTTAGAAACAACTTGAGGCGAGAGGCAATGAAGTAACGGGGGAGCTAGAAACAACTTGACGGCGAGGGGCGATGAAGGAAGGGGAGAACATGATGATCTCATCTGTGAATAGTAGCTATCTGAGATAGCTTCTGCTCGCAGATGATATCATCATTGCTTCTCTTGCCGCTCGCCCTTCTCTGCATTTGCCCCTCTTGCCACTCGCTCCTCTCTGCATTTGCCCTTTTTGCCGCTCGTCCCTCTTTGCGTATGAGGTAACCTTCTCTCTATAGATCTTGGGTCTGAGTAGCTTTGACGCGCCCGATGAGAAAAGGAAAGAAAACACGTTAATCACAAAAATGGGCTGAAATGCTCAATTAATTCCGAGCACTGTTCTAGAATAAATTAAAATATAAATAAAGATTCAGATTTATTTAACTTACCGTTCACAAAATTTTCCCGATTTCTGATTTGTGACAAGCAAATGTTCACTTTTTTTCTTTAATGTATCATATGCCACAATATTAAATTGTTTGCATACCATACTAATCTGTGATAAAGTATATACATCACAGAAATTAAAAATTATTTCTAATATCTCGTTCGGAAAAATATACGAAACAGACATATTTGTCTTCTTAATTGAACGTTACCACGTGAGAATATAGATATTATAACCGGTACGTTTACTTCACTGAACGTTATATATTTTATTTTTAAAGTGGAATGTCTTCAGCTTAAGGTTACACGTGTTAACGATATAGTGGCCACGATGCAATTCTTCTTTTCTCGGCGAGCTGTGGCAGCTATATCAATTCTCGTCCTAGGTTTTCTAGAGCACGAAGGCCGAATTTCCACTGAGCGCGTCACGCGTCGCGTCATGACTCGCGTCACGACGCGACGCGAGGTAAGCTGAAGAATGGCGTCGTTCTTATTCACACTGTACGCGTCGCCGTAAGGAGACAAAAAATAATAGTAGAGAATAATGGCTTAGTTTACACCGATTGTTTAGTACACCAGGTCACACAAATGCCTTGACATATGAAGTTGCCGAGTGTCAAGGCCACGGTGTAAGAATATAAGGTGGTTTCACGACCATTGTATTCTATCAAAAAATCTGTGATCAAGATGTCATAGTTAAGGCATGTCACACAAGATGTCGCGTTGGTGCAAAATTCCAAGTAAAAAAGAATAGAAGATATGGATAGATGTGGATAGAAAAGGATAGATGATGAATCTCTAAAGCACATCTATATATAATTATAGTCCTAATAATACAAATTTTTTAAAATAAAACTTTTAACATTGTGTATAAAAATATATATTACTGACAAAATGTTTTTTTATTTTTTTATAACAAATTATTCTTAGTTAAATTTACAGAAAAAATAATTAATAATGTATTCCAGTCTTTATAGAAAATTAAGTTTTTTTAAGTAAAATAGAATATTTATAATTAAGTTTCGCAGGACAATAAAATTTTAATAAAATTTCTATATATATATATTTTAAGTCGCTCAACACGTAGCCACCTAGCGGTTCAATGTGGAACAATGACAGGAAAATCACAAAAATTTGTTGCCGTGCAACCACCTTATTCTCTTACACCGTGGTCAAGGCATATCGAGTCGGCGTGTTCTGACTCTATATATTTTTACATCATGATTGTGACATCCGGCAACGCTGTTGTGGCTGTGTGAAAGCAGCTGGAGTGAAGTAAAGCAATGTGACAAGTTAGGTTAGGTTAATAAATCGCCTATGTATGCGTCCGTGTGACGGTAACCGACGGCTAAGCACACACGGACACGTGACGTAGACGATTTTTGCTTGCGTACGTGCTTCCCCTGTCGCGATGCCATGGTGTCAGCGGTTTCGAGTTTGCATCACCGGAATAAGGTAAGATTTAATATATTATACACTTGAAAATTGCGTGCTACATTTCATTAAGTTTTTAAAATTTTTATTAAATTAATTTTTTTCAGAGAAAGAGACAGAAGTTTATCGTGAAGAAGTGAATCTCGGCCTATTGGTACTAGGATACATGATCGCAGATAAGTTTATTTATATTCACACATAATCCTTTTTATTACAGAAGTTTTACTACATATTATTAATTTTCAGGTGTTCTACATTGGAAGGAAAAAGATAAACTTTGAACAAAGTATGGACAAAATAATGAAGTGAGTGATGTGGCATTATGCATAATGCCCGAGATCAGTCGGGCAGAGTGATAAATATTTGTTAATTTTTAATTTAAAAATTGCTTTAACCAGGCAATGTAAATAAAAATAAATATAGATAAATATTAATATAAATAGATAATATTAATAAAAATAAATATAATTATATATAGATAAATAAATATATAAATATATAATATATATTTATT